AGTGAGACTCCATCTCAAAAAAACAAAACAAAACAAAACAAAACAAAATATATATATAGATCTAGATCTAGATCTACATATATAGATAGATCTAAATCTAGATATACACACACACAAAAACTAGCCAGGCATGGTGGTGGCCACCTGTAATCCCAGCTACCTGGGAGGCTGAGGCAGGAGACTCGCTTGAACCCACGGGGCGGAGGCTGCAGTGAAGCGAGATTGTGCCACTGCACTCCAGCCTGGGCAACAGAGCGAGACTCTGTCTTCAAAAAAAAAAAAGTCTGTTTCTGATTTAAACAAAATGTGTGTGTGTGTGTGTCCTTCATCCATTACCTTTGACAATCAAGGCAAAGTGTGGTCATGCAGGCAGGACAATTCAAGACAGCATCACTATTTGGAACAGGCTGTTGTTGACGTGACCTCTGTAGTCCCAAACCATGGTAACTAGAACAGAAGAAGAAAGTGGGGAGAAAAACATATTAAAACCAGATCTTGGTTTCTAGTGTCATTTTCCAATAAAAAGAACTAGTACTCTTCAGAGAAATGGCTAATTCTAGGAATGAGGAACACAAGATGAACCTGGAGCATCTTTTAGTGCCAGAAAAGACGTTCAAGAAAACAAAAACAAAACAGTGAGGTGGTTATGACAAAGGGAAACAGGAGCCAACTGAACGAGTCACCAACTGCCAAAGCTGAAACAAACTGAGCAACAAAATAAAGCAGTATTGGAATACAACCCAAAGTATAAAATAAATACCCACGAGTCCATGCTAATATAAATGTACTGAATAAATAAATAAATGGGGGAGAACAGACAAATCCCTACACAGAATTCTAAATAATCTATAAAGATGCTCTTCCCTCACATTGGTGGAGTATAACTCCCTAGTCCTTAAGTCTGGGTTGGACACAGTGACTTCCTTCCAAAGAGTACAGTATGGTAAGGCGGGTAAAGACTAACTTTACAGTAGAGAAAGTTAACGCTGGTCAGCAAGGTGATAAGGTCAACATCAACACACAAAACTCAGGTTGGTAGTATGTACTCTTGATACAATGTGATGAAAATGGCTCTCTACTTCTATGTTCTCACTCATAAAAACTCATAATCCCATCCTAATTATGAGAGAAAACAACAGACAAATTCCAACAGAGAGGCCTCCTACACATACCTGATTAGTGCTCCTCAAAGTAATTAAGGGCACTGAAAACAAGGAAAGTCTAAGAAACTGACATAGTCAAGAAGAGCCTAGGGAGACATGATAACTAAAAGTAATGTACTATCCTACATGGGATCCTCAAACAGAAAAAGAACAGTACATAAAAACCAAGGAAATTTTTTTAAATTATGAACTTTGATTAATAATAATGTATCAAGGCCGGGAGTGGTGGCTCACGCCTGTAATCCCAGCACTTTGGGAGGCCGAGGTGGGTGGATCACGAGGTCAAGAGATTGAGACCATCCTGGCCAACACGGTGAAACCCCGTCTCTACTAAAAATACAAAAATTAACTGGGCGTGGTGGCGGGTGCCTAGAATCCCAGCTACTTGGGAGGCTGAGGCAGAGAACTGCTTGAACCCGGGAGGTGGAGGTCACAGTGAGCTGAAATTTTGACACTGCACTCCAGCCTGGGTGACAGAGCGAGACTCCATCCCAAAAAAACAAAAACAAAAATAAGCATAGAGCCATGCTGGAATTACACCTGTAATCCCAGGCCAAGGTGGGCAGACCACTTGAGCCTATGAGTTTGAGATCAGCCTGAGCAACATGGTGAAACCCTGTCTCTGTAAGAAAATTAAAAAAATAAAATGAAAATAAAAATAAATAAGCATAAACTGGGCATGGTGGCTCACACCTGTAATCCCAGCACTTAAGGAGGCCAAGGCAGGAGGGGATTGCTTGAGCCCAGGAGTTTAAGATCAATCAGCCTAGGCAACATAGCAAGACCTCGTGTCTATTAAAAATTAAATTAGAAACAAAAAAAACAAACATGCACTCAGGACACTAAGGCAGGGGGATCATTTGA